TTGATTCTATGCGATTAGTTGATTAAGCACCTTCTAGTTAATTAGCGACTTGTAGAACCGAAAGGGGAGAAGTCGTTGACCTAGGCTCACATGAGGTAGACGATGTTGTAATTGACCAATCTACGTGTTTTAGATTGAAATACGCACTTGTCGATGACCCGTCCCTTGTTACGAAAAGTTATTGGGATTGAGATAATTGGCCTGTGTTGTATGCTCGAACTTGTTCGTCTATGTTCAATCTCTTGTTACGAAGAGTTATTGGGAGCGAACCGCTGGATGTCTAAGCGAGAGTGTCAATCTCGAACCGAACAATGAATTGCCCGATTTTGCTAGAACTTGAATTAATTGTCCCCGATTCCCTAGCTTCTCCATCTTTATTTCGTTTATCTTCTTAGGTAGGTTATTGCTTTTTATTATTTCTTAGCTAATAATTATTCAAACCCCCTTATCTGATTAGTATGTTTAGGATTTTATTTGCTGTTATGTGTTATCAATATCAAAGCTAAATTCCGAACAGCCTTCCTCGTGAGATCGACCCGGGGAACAAATCTTTAGATTCGGTACTCGGTAAAAATAATAATTTGTACACAACAGAGAGTGCTTCCTTCGCAGTGCTCACAAGGTCGCGGGTCGGCGTTCGCGAGCGAGTGAGCGTGCTTCCTTGGCATTGCTCACGAGGTCGTTGGTCGGTCTTGGCTGGCGAGTCTAGTTTCAGGGTCTGCAAAACTGAATTCGGGTCCTTAACAAGTAGGTGTTGAAAATGCTACTCGATGTTGATGTCTTCTACCAATCTTCTTTCATTGAACCTACAAAACAATGAGATAATACAAAGAAAAACAACGAAAAAAAAAATGAAACACGACCGTAAAAACTGGAAATGACAAATACGACCGAAATGGACCAGAACGCCACAAATAAGAACCAAATGAATCGACTTATCACAAAAATCATACAAATTTAAGCACAAAAACAAACACAACAATATCCCACTAACTTAATTTTAATATTTTATCATATTTAAAAAAGGTTTTGACTTGGTAAGATCATATCAATTGTAAATAGAAACTGTTAAAGAAAAAAAGGTAACAAAGCTGAATAAAAATGTACACAAAACATTAACAGAACATTTTTGTCCAAAAGTTAAATATTATGTTGACGAAGATAATTTTATTTATTTATTGACAATCCTTGGTTGAACTGGTAAGGAAGAAAATTAACAGAATTGGGCTTTTTGTTTGTTTTGTTATAGTCGATCATCCTTGGGTCCATTTTAATTTGAGTCCATTATTCACGATTGCTGGCGTTTCGCATATTACATGGGCTGCAAGGCCTATCCATATATTACATGGGCTGCAAGGCCTTATTCGATAGCGATACGCTTCCGCAGTTTTTGTACCAAAATCAGTTGGCAGAGAGTGATTGATGAAATTTCTGAAATCTATATAGAAAATGACCAAATTATGTTAAAATAGAGTAAATTTTCAGTCTCATTAAAAAATAATTATATATGTTTGTTATAAGAGTAATGACATAATGTTGTACATAGAGGTGTACATAACACTCACACTGAGTAGACCCGCTAAAATTAAAAAATCAAGTGGACCCCACTCTATGTGAGTGTTATGTACTGTGTACATGTAGCATTTTTCTTGTTATAAACTGGACGGGGCTCAATATATATGACTAAACCTTCAAAATTTGCCCACTCATATAAAATATTTAATATACAAATACAATACGACATGATTGTCTATTTAGAAGTGTATAAATAACACTGTTGTTCCATCTAATTCTGTAAGAACTAAATATGTAGCCGTAAAAAAATTCGGTTAATGCTTGTTATTTCAATAGATTTTCTAACATATGATCCCGATATATCGTCTATTTATATTTGTTATTCGGAATATTATATTTTTTTAAAAAAAAGGAAAGAAAAGAAAAATGGATAATTTTTTTTTTTTTTTTGGTACAAGAAATGAAGTCGTAGGCCTAAATGCTAAACTAGAACTCGTTGGGGACAGAAAACCCCGATGATATCATGCTCAAGCCAAGCCTCCAAGCTAGGGGGAGGAACAACCAACTCATGAAGACCAATTGGGAAGGAAGAAGCAAAGCTCGCCAAATGGTCGGTTACAAAATTGGCCTCTCTATGCACGTGACAAGTCGAATAGTCCACTCTTGTTGAAGCAAATGACGAATGGCCCGGACCAAAGCTTCATGTGCCTCAACAACACAACTATATTGCCGATTATCAGCTGTACCACACTCTGGCTATCAACCTCCATAATAACTTGGCGACAATTCTTAGCCCACGCACGCAAGCTGAAGACCCTGAAAGAGACCCCACAGTTCAACCATGGTAATGGTACAATGTCGACCTATATTCATAAGAAAACCCATAGTCCCTCTACCCTTATCATCCCGAATAAGTCCACCGGCACTACAATAATAATGGGAACAAGAATAAATAAATAAATAAATAAATAATATTCTCTTTTCATCACTTTACAAATTACGTGCAATTAGTATTTTCAAACTCATTGCTTATTGTGTATAAACAAATCAACTTCGCTTAATCTTGAAGCAACATTCCGAGTCCTATTGCTAATTTGACTACGTGTTTTCAGTAATCAATGGTACTTTTGTCTTCTAGTTTTTTGTTGCTTCTTTTGAAGGGTTTTGTGGCACATGATGATATCCCTTTTTTATTCTCTGTTAATATAATGGCTCTTTTTTTTTTTTTTTGGTACAGAGACCTTCCGGTTTTCCGGATTCATAGGGGAAACGACTAATCCGGAATCGAGCCGGGTAGGACCACAAGGGCGGCAAAGCTCTCCCTCAAGAGTTTTAACACTAATGGCTCTTTTCATTATGGTGATTGATTTTTCCCGAGCCTAGAGATTCTTAGCTATATGACCTTGCAAATAAAGTGGATCAATTTCTAAATTGGGCATAACAATTTTAGTTAATTTAACCTTAAATACGTGCTATACTTATATATATTGGAATTGAGTTGTTCGAGAACACAACTCATGTAAGATCAAGCTCGGCTCGTTTATGTACGATTTTAGGTTTATTTAGCGAGCCGAGGTCGAATATGAGCTACTCAGTTTGGCTCAGATAAAATCCCTAATTTCGACCAAAAGAAACCATACAAGCAATTAGAGACATTTCAATATCTACAAAGGCAATAGAAAGTACTAAATCTTCATCATGAAAATAAACCATAAAAGAATATTGGCATGTTGAAAACTAAACGTGTGAAGCGAAAACCGATAAATATATATGATAAAATTTATAAATATTCCAAACTAGTGTTCATACACAATTCATATAATATTATAAACACATACTAAATCATTGAACAACACAGACAAAATTTAGAGTGTGGACTGAGTGTGTAAGGATAGCCAGAGTGATGAAATACCTTTTTTTTTTTTGGCGCAATTATATTGCAACAAGTTTCAATTACATATAATCAGTCATGTTTATGGTGGACACGAGTTAATATGTACACATCAACTGATCATGTAACAAAAGATTAACATATCATACACGGAAAATATATTATTCAAAGATCTCGAAATCTTGATATACACGATATTTTCGTGTATATTGACATATGTGCCTACTATGAATATGTGATACTTTTGGTACATATTAATATTAATCTATATGCATTAATTTCTTTTGTATAATCTTACATATAATGAAAGTATGTTCTCAAAAAATATTTGACTAATTCCACTATATATTATCAGGATTTAAATGGAAATTGAGTATGATCAGCACTACTATTACAATATTACTTAAATACTACTTGTGGTTTCAACTTTAGTCAACTTTTTATGTGAGTAAACAATTCCAAAAGAAAAAAAAAAATAAATATAAAAATAAAAAC